TGTCATATTCTTCATATATTTTATGGTAGTCTTTGATATTTTCAGTACATCTTGCTACTGTTGCATGTAGGTAGGTAGATGTTTTCCTTTTGGTACTGAAATTGACTTCAGGATACTGCATTTACTGAAGTCTTTTTGCATCTACCTGCAGATGGTATATGGCGTTCACATCTGTATTCGTAGACTTTTATGTATTGCAGATCTTTGTGTTGAATCATTGCTGATCATATGAACTTCCACATTATACTCCATGACTTGTGCGAAATCTTCTTCTATTGTATTGCTTGTAATGTTGAATATGGTTGACTGTAAGAGTGTTACAACATTCACTATTATGCTTATTGTAACCTCTCAATATTGTTGTATATTATTATTCGCATATTGATTGACATGATCATCGTGTTCATCAAGAGCCTACATTGTTGCTCATGAACCAGTTCCAATTGCAAACTCCTAACCTTTAAAGAAAATTTGGCATATACATGATAAATTTGATATTCATCATTTGTTTGATATTCACCCTTTGTCTAGCATGAAGGATTTCAACATTTGTTCGAAGCTTCATGCTGTTGGTTGTAGACTTCTATGCTTATCATGTCCATAGTGGAGATATTGATAGATCTCCAGTTCTGTTCATGAGCATACCCCTGCACTATCCATGGGTAAATCATTGCATGCATATAAGAATCTTGTTCTTATTTTCTTTACATTTTTCATGTTGATGTATACATTCCATGTATTGTTCATGAGCATATCATTATATACCTCTTGCCATCATTCATAAATATTTCATTCAATATTTTGCAGATCTATTGTCACATGGCAAGTTATCATATTCTTCATTTGATCATTGCATGCATACCAATTTGATTCAAGGGACTTTGATTTTTTTTATTCTTTGCTTACAATCAACACCTCCATCATTAGCTTCAATTGAAGAAATGTTACAATATCTTGTACATCATTCTTATTTGTTTGTAATTGATGGTTAATGAGAGGTAGGGATTTTCCCCAACCTCATCAAGAGTTTGTATGTGTTAGAATTGGAATGTTATTACATTTTTTTAAGTATTATATGTACATATTTTAATTTAACATATCCATTTTACATGATTTAATGAGTATTATATTAAATCAACAAGCAAAATATTTTTATGTTATATATATATAAAAGTAAAACATGTAAAAATTGTGCTTGTTATTTTTCTTTTCCTTGCATTTGTGTTATTTTTTCATTTGTTGTACATGAAAATTTTTAAAATTGTTTATTAGTTTATACATTTTTCAATTAGAATCTAAAATAAAAAAAATAAAAACCCCAATTCTCCCCTCCTATGGGGGTGCCATAGTCTTCCAAGATTTCTTACTTTCAAACTCTTGAGAATGGTCACTATGGATTATAAATATTATGATCTAGTGCTTTTTTTAATATGCATGGAAAATTATTTGAATTCATTGAAGTATTCATTAAATGTGTTAATTTTTTTTTTTTTTGAATTTAGTGTAATTGTTCCTAATATTAAAAATATAGAACTTTCTGCTAAACTTACTCTACTAATTTGTTCAAGTGATTCCATGTGTAGAAACTTTAATGGTCTAGAGGTTATTACTATCATAATTAACTTAAATGAATTTTTTAAATTTTTTTGCTAGTTGGCATGCATTGCATGAACCTTATTAGAAAGTCTTAATTTTGGTATTACTTCTATTAAGTATAAATTTGTAAAGGCATATTTTCATTCTTTAATTAAATCACTATATTAACTCACTTTAATTTCTAATTTTTCAATATTTGTAACTTCATCAACTTCTAAATATTCCTTTTCTTATTTTAATGTTCCAAGCTATACTAATTAAAAGTCACATGCATAGGCACTTCAATTAATAAGGTTTTTTTATTGAATATTTAATTTCTTTTTGGTAGAAAAAGATAAATCTAGCTTTCCACCCTTAAGTAATTCATAAAGTATATTTTTAAATATAGGTTGAATATTCACAAGATTGATTACATAAGAGTTTGGGTATTCATCAAATTAATTCTAAGTCTGAGATTTTCCCAAATGTGTGCATATGCATAAAACATCATTGCATAACTGTGGTTTATTTAGAGAACTTTTTAAGCATTTAATAGAATGTTTTTCATATTTCTTATAAATATCTGGCTTATAAATAATTTTATAGTAAAATCCTTTTAAAACTACTTCATCATTAAGCTTAATTAGGTTTGACCCTGATGAAAAATATAATCTCAAAACCTTTATCATAAAATTTACTTAGATTTACTAGATATATTTTAGACCATATACTCAACAAACATTTTAAATTGAAAAGAAAAAGCTTATACAATATTTTCCAAAATTGATAATATTTTTAGTTATATATCATTATAAATAATTACTTTATAACCATCCCTAGGTTCTAATATTGAAATTTTATTTTTATCTCTAATCACATGTTTTGAGTAACCAAAGTTGAGATGCCACATGTCCAACATTCCTATATGGAGGCATATTCATATAAAAAAAATTGCAATCTTTTTTTTTTTTTTTTTTTTTTTTTTAAAAATTTTTTTTTTTTTTTTTTTTTTTTTGAAAATGTTTTTGTACAATTTTATTGAAAATAAATTGTGTATAATGCTTATGTTCAAAACAAGCATGAACACCTATATTTACATTAAAATGTGGCATCATAACTCTTGAATTTCCATCACAATCTTTTTTTTTTTTTTGAAATTTAGTGAAAAATCACATAGAATATGTCTCAAATATGTGATTATAAAAAAGCAACATTCTCCGATGAATTGGCCACACCCTTTTACCATAGTCCTTTTATGTATTTTCTTCGAAAACTTGTACTTTTTTTGAAAAATTATGATGAATCATAGAGAATGTGCCTAAAGTATGTGATTATAAAAACACTTCCTATGATGAATGAGCCACACTCTCTTACCATAGTCCTTTTATGTATTTTCCTGTCATTGCACACGCCTTTTATCATAGTCATATTATTCTGATTAATAAATTTTGAATTGGTTCAAAACCAAGGTAATAGTGGCATTCTTTTGTGCCAAGATGAACATCAGATAGATATTTAATTATGTAAAAAATTTCTTTACAAGATGCTTTTTGATAAGGAATTCAATGCTTCTTTCATTGATTAGATCAAGGCTTGCATTACAAATGTTAATTTCTCTATCCTTTTAAACAGAAGCCTCCACAAGATTTTTCTTACATCAATTGGGCTGAGATGAGGTTTTCATCTTTCCTCTACCTTTTTATTTCGTTAGGCATGATTTGCTTGCACCCTAGACAATCTATTTGAGAATGAACTCTTTTCTAATATTTTTAATTGCAATCTAATTGCGACTGACGTGCTCAAGCTTATCAAATAATATTAATGTCATAAATGATTGCCTATAAACATTTTATTCTCTCTGGACTTTCATAATATCAACATAAAATGTATGATTGACACGATCATTTATATATTAACTAGATAGAAATCTAAGATTCTCTCTTTTGAGCTACCTTTACTTAACTAAAATATGTATTTAATTTTTTTTTTTTTGGGGGGGGGCTCTTTTATACCCAAGGGAACTCCATAAAATTTTGATAAAATTCACTCCAAAATTCTCTTTAATAGCAACCCTAGCTCCCCCAAAACCCATCTTATATATTGATGTAATGCTTGCAAGCCCAAAGATAAGGGTTGCCTTGGTATATTATCAACCCTAAAAATAAACTTTTATGCTAAAAGCAATTAGATATATAATTTCCTCACTGCAAACTCCCTATAAAAAACTAGTTGGAAGAACTCCTACCATAATATTAAACTCTTCCTTAATCTTGTGGCTTTCCACCTTTAAAAAAGCTCAACAAAGCCAGCTCATAGAGTTAAGCATCTCATCTAGATCTCTGGGATATGGAGCTTCATCCATAGGATTCTTAGGTAATAGCCTTTTGAGCTAATTGTGGGGAATGTTTAAAGTATTTCCTGTACTGCAACAGAACTCTCTTTCTCATTTCATCTCAAATCAATCATCATTTAAGGATGACTCATTGTTTCTTGTTTATATTCATTGAATATTCATTGTTTGATTTTATGGCAATCAATGAAGGTGTTAAAATTCTTGATCATCTTAATAAAATAAGCACTGCCGTTCCACCTTATTTTAAATCTTATAGTACTGAAATGAAATCAGTTAACCTTAACTGTTGGTTGGTCTTTCACATTCAATCATCTCTTAAATGCCTCCCTCTACACAATGCCCTCCTTTTGGAGAAGTTATTACTAAGGCCGGATGCAGAACATCATTCGAAAATCAATCAGAATGTGCCATATCAGGGGTACCAAGTAGTACCGAGCCACGGCACCAAGCGCAAGGGTGATGTGGCACATTCTGATTGGTCTCCAAACAACTTTCGACGTCCGCACATAATAATTAATACTCTTGAGGTCAACCCTTTTGAAAATTTTGTACTGCATTCAAGGGGACACTAACTTCTAGCTCATTATGCCACTCTTATATGGGGCAAATTATTGGGTCAAGTGACCGAACGCAGAGATAGGTCCGGATATTAATAAAATATTATTTTAAAATTAGCGCAAGTAAAGCACAAGTAAAACGCAACTAAAGCGCAGGTAAAGCGCAACTAAAGCACAACTAAAACGCAACTAAAGCGCAAGTCAAAAAGCGCAACCAAAGAGCAACCAAAGCGCAACTAAAGCGCAAGTCAAAAAGCGCAACTAAAGCGCAAGGTGACGCGGCAAATTTTTATTGGATGTCCGAACATATTTTCCGCCTCCGGTCACCTGACCCAATAATTTGCCCTTATATGGAAGGAGAGGATCGAGAAAATATTTTCTATCATTTTAAAATTTCATACATCCAAACCTTTGAAAAAAGTGCAACATCACATGATATCTACTATAGATATGAAGGGATCGAGATCCCCTACGAGGCGTTGGGTACAGTTCTCGAAAATTTCCTTTCCCTCATGCCAGGTTTTAAGGCCGAGCCTGAATTGGGAAAAACGAAAATAAACAAAGATAACAGCCGTGGCCCCAACAAAAATATGGCAAACAAATAGCCAATAAGATCGTCAATGGCGGCCTAGAATTTATACACTGACGAGTTAGGTGGAGGAGCGGGAGGCAACCGATTAGGAGTTCGCCGGCTGCTAGAATTGGAACCTGAGCCTGCTTCATCATTCTGTGTTGACTCGCCAAAACGTCGGCTATTCCCATTGATGCTGTTGGATCTAAACGACTCCGAGGAAGGGCCGTTTGCAGCGGCATCAAATGCAGACCTCCAATCATCAGCTGAAGCAGTGGCAGCTCTTGGAGTGTTTTCTGTAAATGTAGCTCAATTAGAAAAGATGTCATTAGCATTGATTGCTTTACAGAAATAGAAGCAGGTAAAACTAAAGCTTTGTTTGAGATGGCTTTCTTATTACTTCTTAATGCAGCTTCTTAGTACAAAATTTTTAATTTTTGTACTAGAAAACAATTTAAGAAGCAGAAAGAAAGCCCTCCCAAACAAAGCTTAAGAACGACTTTCTTACTGCTTCTTGAAGCGGCTTTCTACTACAAAAAAATAATTTTACTAGAAAAATATTTTAAAAAACAGTAAGAAAACTATCCCATATGAAGTCTAAAATAGAATAGAACAATTTCTCCAGAGAAGAAAATCATTATAGTAATCACTTAGAACAAAAAGAACTGAAATTTAAGAAATTTTTTTTCATCCTCTGACATTAAAATTATCCATTTGACCAAATGGTGAATTTCTACATTTATTGTGCATATCAAAATCACTTGAGTCTTATTTTAATTACAATATGGTCAAAAATATCCCTTCAATTGTTTCCTCAAATATAATCATTACTTGATTTATCCTTCCTAATTTTGCTATGCATCAAATATAATATTCTCATTATAGCACATTCAACTTAAATATCAATGACTTTTTTACTACCCAACAATCAAATTCATTTTGACCGACTTAACACAAACATCACAGAGGAATGTTAAAAGGGAGATATTTTTGGCTCTGACTAGCATTTGGAGCAAATGTAGCAAAACCTAATATTAAGATGTCATCAGAATTAAGTCCAACAGCTGGAGTCCTTGGACGGGGTCTTGGCATCCAATATCACATGTTGACAGAGCAGCATCTGATATTGGCAATCAACTAACCAATCTCGTCAAGGAAAATTTCTTTTTAAATAGCTGGCCTGCAGCTTAGAAAAGTTGGATAGTGCATAGTTAGACTGGCAAGCACAATCAACGTTCAATAACAACAGAAATTATTAAATTAAGAATGATGGATTTCATTAGAATTACCTGGGCACCGGGTAATTTCAGTAAAATCCAAAAATTTTCTATAACAAGTCAGCCAATTATTGAGGCGGCTAAGATATCCCTAAGAGTACGTATGGCTGTTTATGCGTCAACGACTGTCATTTTGCGTGTTTTTGTTCAGGTAACATTTCCTACCATATATTTATTTTTTTGGACATTGTTGTTGTAGTAGGATGTTTTATGTATCATTAACTTTATTAGTATATTGTCTACATACAATTTATAGTATTATATATCACGAGCGAAGTCATAGTGGGGGCCATAAGGACAAGCCCATCACATAACAATTTATTTTAAAAGTTAAAATATAAAAGGCGGCCCATTGTGCAGCCCATCACACAACACCTAAAAATCACATAGTAGTTGATACGTAATATTCTTATAAAATCCTATATTTCGTTATGCATATGTATATTGGTCATCAAAAGTAAGAACTTTGATAGGAAATACTTGATTTCAAGTATTTCCAAATCACTTCTATAGCAAATCTCGATGCAAGCTGCTGTTCGCAGTAGGAAAAACAGCAACACACCGGAAAAAACAGGGAAAATCTGAGAGAAATTTGGAGAAACAACTTGTATTTTACTAGTAGATGCAAGAAAAATAGCAAAGATACAAGGATCCTCTATTCGAGAGGAGGATCGCACTCTCCCAATCTCTAGAATTCGTTCTAGA